TTAACTAATTTTACCAACAAAAATTTAATTTTTTTATATAAATATTTTACATCAATTTTTACAGTAACTAATATTATTTTATTTCTATTTTATCTTTATTAAATTTTATTATGTTATATTTTTTTATCTTATTATTCTTATTTTTCATATATTAAATTTTATCTTAATAAAATAATTATATTTTGAATAATTAAAAATAATTAATAATTACTTTTTTTTACTTTAAATTAATTAATATTTTCTTACAAAGTATATGTTTTATATTTATAAATATTTTAAAATGACAACTTAAAAAATAATTAACTTATATATTTTGAATATAATATAATAATAATATAAGTATTTTATATTTATATAAAAAAATTATTAAATATTTTTTTACATAAATATTTTAATATAAATATAATAAATTAAATTATATATTTTATTAATAATTATTATAAATTATAAAACTATAAATATTTATTTATAAAAAATATTAAAATTAATTTATTATAAATATATATATTTTTTTAAATAATATATATAGATAAAAAATGAGTAGAATGAGATCCCAACACTCAAAATTTAAGTAACAATTAAAGAAGTTAAAACTACATTTCTAACCACAAAATTCATGGGTATAACCTAATTGTCTGTTAAAATACAAATAAAATAAAGATCAACATTGATAATTGGTTATATTCATTAATTTATTTTGCATATTTAATTAAAATTTAATTATTTTTATAATATTAACATGATGTAACTCAAGCTTATAACTCATTTATAACTTAATAAATAAAATAATAAAACAAGCATATTATTATTGTACTTGTACATTTTAAATATAGATATGTAATGAAATATTTAAATTTAATGATATTTTAATTAGGTGGTTAAAATTTTTTTAGGGGACCACAACGTTTTCTGGTCCCTTATTCTTTCTGTCTCTAAGGGTGGGTGTTTTGAGTATTATTCAAGAGTATAGGTGGTGTGTCGTATGCATATGGATTTGTATGCATCTCTAATTAGAATGCAAATATTTTAATGACAAATATATAAAAAAATTCATAACTTATTTTTAGTTTCTATTTACAAATACTTTAAACAAAAATTAAATTGTGACTGACATATAATGCAGACATCTACGAGTGATTTTTATGAATTAATTATAATTAAATTTATTATAAATTGCAAACAAAATTATAACTAATATATCATTTATGTAGATTTGTACAATATCTATGAATTAATTATTATATTAGAAAAATGGGGTTCGTGATGGATAAAATAAACATGAGCATTGATGGTTTATTTTATATTCATGGGTCTGTTTTACACAATTAATTAGGGGCCAAATATTCTAAAATTCACAACTTAGTGTACCAAATAATAAAACAAACATATTATCGTGTAGTTGTACATTGGGAAAACGGGTATATTTTATTTAAACTTATATAATAATTTAATTTCGTAATTATTATTTTTTTGGGATCATTGGTGCTTATTCCTTCTGTCCCTAATATTGTGGGTGTTTCGAGCAATGTTCTAGACACAAAGGTGGTGGCTTATATATTTATGAATTTGTGTGTATATATCCGATTAGGATTTACATATTTCAATGTAACTCAATTCATTACTTATTTTAATTTATATTAAAGATATTTTCGACAAAAAGCTATATGTTTTTTATGAATTAATTATAATTAATTTTATATCGTAAATAACATTGTGACGGACAAATGGTGTAATTTGTGATGTTTATAAATTAATTTTAGTTATTTGAAACTTTGTTTTTTTAATATATTAGAGTCTTTCTAAGAGGCGTGTGGATTGCTTAATTATGACAAATTATAAAAATTTGATTGGTAGAATGATAATGAGTTTTCAAACAAAATTTGTGATATATGACACAATAAAAAATAAATTAAAAATTATTTTAATTTTAATAATAAAGTTATAATATTAGTTTTGAATTAATCCATTATAAGGTGTGATAACCAATCAAACTTTATCATTTTGAAATATATATATTTGTTTATTTATCATTATTTACCTGCTGTTTAAATTTTTCAGTAAAAGAAGATTTTTTCGAGTTAAAGTTTGATGATTTGATAAAAATATAATATAGCGAAATTAAGTCTATAAGTTTATCAATAATTTTTTTTAACTTTACATTATTTTTCAGAAATCTTTGATAGTAACACCTAAAAAAAATGATTGAGTTGAATAAAACTCAAAAACATCCTTAATGTAATGCGTGACTTAAAATTTTAATGTAATATTTTTATATCTTTTTGGGATAAATATGTATTTATAGTTAAAATCTAATAAATAGAATGATTAGATGAAAAATCTCCTAATGAAATATTAAATAAAAAAATATTTTAAAATAACTAATCAAGGGTGTTTAGTTATGATGAAAATCAAAATAGGAAATGAGAGAAGTTTGTTAATTACAATAAAGAAATGTATATTTATAATTTATTCAGATAGAAATATAGAAAAAAAGGATAACTATTATATAATATGAAGTCAGGAAAACTGTTTTGTGTTAAGAAATAATAATTATTTATGGTTAATCCACGTAGAAAGAAATGTGTTATTTTTTACATGATTTATTAATAACGATAATACTGTTCATATTACGATAATTCGTTGTATAAAACATCTTTAAGTCCCTTTATGAGTTGTGGGTGTTTGTATCTAATATAGTTATAATACAAAATTCAACTAATTGTTTTTCACTCCATAACATAATATCCTATGCTAACATACCATGTAAGTTTATATATATATAATTATAATTAATGCAATTCTCACTCTGAATGATGGACTTTATACTTAAATTTAAATAAAAAAAAACAAAAATACATTATAATAAAAATGGACATAAAAAAATTAATATAATTCATATAAAATTATAAAATATTTGTAAAGTTCGATTAATTGGAAATCATCTAAAAATATTTGATTATATAAAGATAATTTGTCCATGGTTATGTTTGAATTATATCAACATTTGTTGAAAATAATAATAATTGGGAACTTACTAAACAAACGTTCACAGTGTATCTTGCAAGAAGACTACATGTATAAGCATGAGTGAAAAGTTATATATTTATGAATTTATTTTACGTCTCTTAGTTAGGATTGGAGTGATGAAACAAGGATAAAACAAATGTAACATGAATAATAAATGGTATATTATGATTTTTTTTCATATTTAATAAATTTTAGATATTAACAAAATATAACTAAATTTACAATTTATAGGTAAAATAATAAAACAAATATAATATTATTAAAATTGTGTATTAATATTCACAGTTGAAATAAGAATAAAATAAAAACAAATATTGACCATAATCAGACTTTTCAATTAAATTTAAAATATAAAGATTTACATCAAAATTCAAAATATAAGGTATTTTTCACGTTTATATAATTTTTTTAAAGATAAATTTTTCATAATAAATTATATTTTATCACATAATCCAAATCATTTTAAATATCACATGTAAAACTTTAGAAGCTAAAAACATTGAGTTAATTATAATAGTTATAAAAAGATAAATAAATAAGAAATATTTTTTGTTGTAAGAGTTTAATATAAATATAAAATAAAAATATTTTATAATTATTAATTATAATTTTTTATATATATTGCTGAAATAAGTCAGATAATTTTGAATGTGACATATTATTAAAAAAACAAAATTTTAATTATACATTGTTAGATATATTAGTTTTAAAATAAATTAATTGAATTTTATAATACAACTAATTAAATAAAAAATTAAACCAAAATAACATTGTTATTTACAAATACATAAAACACTGCAACAAATTTACATTTAACTACAATTATATTTTAAAATACCAAGAATATTAAATAATGCCATGAATAAATCGGTAAAAATAAAGCACAAGATAATATCTTTAACCAATTTGGAAAAAATAATCTTGTGTTGTTCGACTAAAATTTCAAATTAATATCTCTTGTGGACGTGAATATGATAATTTAATATTTTAATATATTCAATTAAGGAATGATTTACAACAGAAAAAAAAAAAGAGAAAAAGAAGAAGATCAACCATCATGAAAATTAGAATTTTTACAATTATATGCAGTAAATAGACTTGAGTTGTTAAAAATAACATAAATTGTTAAGCATTGAGTGTTGTAAAACTCTTAAATTACCAGTATAGAAATTAAATTTCACATAATTTTTAAAATCATTAATAAATGTATAAAAAATATTTACAATATCTTTATAATCAAATTAAATTAAAATATAAATAAAAAAAATCCTACATTTGTTAAAAAAAGTGTTTTAATGAATAGACAAGTCAAGATTTTTGTTGCCAATGTTTCCTTTAATTATTTCTATTATTGTATTTTATGACTCTATCCATTGCAATAATTATTATTGATTAAAAATATAAAGCAAATAGTATTACTTTAATTAAGAGCGTAATAGGTAAGGACATAAGAATAAAATGAAAAATGAAGAGTATTTATTTGGCATGAGATATTATGGATAGGGTGTGAAAAAACGGAGAAAGAGAAAGAGAAGAGCAGAAGTCAAAGTTGTCATTAACCTCAAAATCTGTCATAAACGGTAAAAAGATCGCCAAGAGATACCGTGACAAATCCGAAATATCGCAAGGAGTTGGAGGGCAAATCTGTCATTACGCGCACCTTATAAATGTTTCCATATCGGTCCTTCTCCCATTCCAGCACATCCTAATTCCAAACCACTGCGCACCCCGCCGCCGTCACTCTCCCTCTCTTTCACTTTCTCTCTCTACGCGCTTTTCCGGTACGTTTCGCCGGAGAATAACCGCGTCTTCTATCGCCGGCGCCTTGAAGGGCTTTGCCGGAGCTCAATCGTATCGGCGGACGGCAGTTCGTAAGAGTTTCGTTTCGTGCATGTTGAGACGGCGGCGTTTGGTGGTGGTGGTGATCAATCGGAGGAGAGTGGGGTAGGATGTAGGTTGGTTGATCGGGGGAGATGGGGAGAGTGGTCGTGGGGGTGGCGGTGACGGTGGCTGTAGCGACGTGCGCGGTGGCGGCGTTGGTGGTGGGGCGGAGAGTGAGGAGCCGGCGGAAGTGGAAGAGAGTGGCGAATGTGGTGAGGGAACTGGAGGAAGGGTGCGACACTAGGGTTGGGAGGCTGAGGCAAGTGGTGGATGCCATGGCCGTGGAGATGCACGCAGGGCTGGCATCTGAAGGTGGCTCCAAGCTCAAAATGCTTCTCACATTCGTCGATAAACTTCCTAATGGGTAATAATCTTTTCCTTCGTTTCGTTCTTTTTGGTTCCAATTGCATTGTCCATTCGCTGTCCTCTTAACTGTGCCATTGAGTAAAATTCCTCTTTAAGGTTCTTGATCGGTCTTCTATGCTGCTGCTGAACATTTGTTCTTCTCATTCACTACTCTTTGGAAGTCAATGTGCCTTTCTTTGATTCTCTGGGTCAATGTCTTTTCGCTTTCTTTTTTTCTAGATTTTCTTCTTATTGTCTTTTTTTGTCATTCCGTCTGTGTGTTGTTGTAGTCTAATTACATCAAGCTACTGTTTCTGTTTTCACTCTTATGATTTGTGCATATTTCCTACCCATGTGCACTTATATCTGTTTGCATTATATATTGTTTTCAAGTATGACAATCACGTTTTTCTTTGAGTTTGATTTTGATATGCCGTCACCTTAAGAACATTTTGTGGAATAATTTTTAAAATATTTATAGTTAAAATAAATGATACGACAATCCGTGACTCTAGACTGGTTAACAATACTGTCATTGTATTTTATTTAAATTCCTCATTGAACTGGGAGTTCTGTTTGAACTTTGAACTTTTCTTTTGCATCATCCTATACATTCCTCGTATGTACTATAAGGTTTTAAAAATTCCATGTTATGATGCATGATTTGTGTCAATAATTAAGCTAATATGAAAATACGCAAGAATGAGTTGCAGAATCCGATTGTTTTGGACTGTGATTGCATCTATATTTGTTATGAGCGTTACCTGAGTTACAATGCTAAGATTGCACGTGATGGCGAGTGACATAAGTTATCATGCCTTAGCATAACTTGTTCAAAATGCATAGTTGTATTTTGTTTAATAAGACTTAATTCTATGATTGTGTCTCCGCTTTGATAGGTTTAATTGAATATGGAAGTGACATATTATATATTTTTCCTTTATCAGGACTGAGAGAGGAACGTATTATGCACTTCATCTCGGGGGTACAAATTTCAGGGTTTTGCGAGTTCAATTAAGTGGTCAACCATCTTCGGACTTGGAACATGAAGTAGAACGACAACCTATTCCGGAGAATGTAATGACCAGCACAAGCCAGGTGACTTGATCAATTCTCTAAGATTTTGGACTTGTGTGTTATTTGCTTGATATTTAACACAATAGAGGGTTGATGGATTTGGCTGCTTGCAGGATCTCTTTGATTTTATTGCATCTTCATTGAAGGATTTCATTGCTAAAGAAGGAGATGGTTCCAATATTTCAAAGGATACAAGGGAACTTGGATTTACATTCTCCTTTCCTGTGAAGCAAATGTCCGTTTCCTCTGGCATTTTAATCAAATGGACGAAAGGGTTTTCTATTGTAGATATGGTTAGTCAACTGACTCTAAAGCAGTTTCTTCGGGAATTGGGAAAGCTTATACTCCTAGGAAATATTGCGATAGATGGAGATTCTTGTATCATTATACCTCATAAAACTAATCACGAACTTCAATGGTACTTTTTGTGTGTTTAAGAGAAAAATGCATGATTTTGGTTAGTAATTTGATTAGTTATATACTCTAGGAAAAAAAAATTATAAGCCCAAGGCATTTAGTTAGTTGTGTTGTTGAATTTAGTTCTTCATTTTAAGTTAAAATTTATATAGATTTTAGTGCAGCCTTTTAACTGTCTAGACCGAATTATTATTATTTTTTTTAAATGACTATTTGTGTTTTCCCCCTTTTAAACAGCTACAAAATAGAAATAAAGAACCTTCTCAATTTACCTAGGTCTATCTATAGCAGTGTGTAAATGTCATAACCATGTTATATTAAGAGCTAAACTGTGGGTTTTCAGGTAGGAAGAGATGTTGCAGCATGTTTGCAAGAAGCATTGACACGGAAAGGCCTACATGTGCGCGTAGCTGCCTTGGTAAGGAAGGACTTTCTTTTACCCCCAGTTATATTTCTATCCCCCAACTCCAATATGTACTGCCCAAAAAAGTCTAATAATTACACAACTGTTTATGTGTGTTGAGCGATTTGTTACTTGTCCAAAAGTCATTTTATACCGTTTACTATACATTTTTTTACTGAAGGACAATTGGGTATAGTTGTAGAAATGACTGACATTCATTTTGTTGAGAAATTGTGTAGCATTTTTATGGTTGTGCAATTATTATTTTTATTACACTGTAATTATGTGGGGAAAAAGTGTGGTGTCCTTGTCGTGCAATATAAATAATTTATGTTTAATTGCATTTCAGATTATTATTATTATTATTATGCAAAATATGATTTCATGTTCATTTCAACAGGTTAATGACACTGTTGGAACATTAGCAGTCGGTCATTATCACGATCCAGATACAGTTGCTGCAATTATAATTGGTACGGGTACAAATGCCTGCTATTTGGAACGAGTTGATGCTATTATTAAGTGTCAAGGTCTTCTTATGACATCTGGACGCATGGTATTGCTTTTTCTTCTTTTCACTTTTGTTTTTTGTTGCTTATGGAATTTTTTTGAGTGTAGCTCTTCTGGTTTCTAGGTTGTAAATATGGAATGGGGAAACTTTTGGTCATCTCACTTACCAAGAACATCGTATGACATCGATTTAGATGCTGAGAGCCCAAATCCAAATGATCAGGTGAGGTTCTGCATCAGATGACTTCTATTGCTTGATTTTTCATGGCTAAAATATTGGAGATTTTCATACAGGGTTTTGAGAAGATGATATCTGGAATGTATCTTGGTGACATAGTGAGACGAGTCATTCTTAGGATGACGTTAGAATCCGATATATTTGGACCTATTTCTCCAAAGCTTTCTATGCCTTTCATACTGAGGTAAATACTGAATTTTTCTGTTTGTCTAATATTTATCGGTTAATTTATTTTGAAGCCTGGTTTTCTAGTGGCGGTTCAATCTCATCTTGATTTTGACTACCTCTGACCAATTTTAATGTATTAAAGTTGGTTGACCATAATTTTTTTCCATTACTTTTTCCCCATGTTGGTAAAAGATTTTTTGTAACTACAGATTTAAATTACACGTCAAGCAAGCGTTATTGCTTATAGAAAGTGAATTTGCTATATATTTATTACGAAAACGGGGAAGGATTTATTTGATCCTGACTCGATCTCCTGATGAAAACTTTTAGCTTAGTATTTAAGATATTTTGTATCATTTCTGACATGTGCATATTGGGATGTCTATCCATTATCCTCCAATCCAAATCGCATAAATTGATAACTATTTCCTGATGGAAATTCAGGACTCCTTTAATGGCTGCCATGCATGAGGATAATTCGCCTGACTTGAGAGAAGTGGCAAGAATCCTTAATGATATATTTGAGGTAAACAAGCGAGGCACCTTATGTTTTGTTCCAAAACGAGTGTGCCCTTTACCTGCTGTAGTGTAATACTGATGTTTGTTGCATTTGGGGTGTATGTCTCAGATTCCCGATGTTCCGTTGAAGGCAAGAAAAATAGTGGTGAAGGTGTGTGATGTGGTGACGCGTAGAGCTGCTCGATTGGCAGCTGCTGGTATTGTTGGTATCTTGAAGAAGATTGGTCGGGACGGGAGTGGTGGCATCACTGGTGGACGTAGTAGAAGTGATATGAAGATGAAAAGAACAGTGGTGGCAATTGAAGGGGGATTGTATTCTAAATATACATTGTTTAGGGAGTACTTGCGTGAAGCTCTAAATGAAATATTGGGGGAAGATATTGCCAAGCACGTAATTCTCAAGGTCACCCAAGATGGTTCGGGCATTGGGGCGGCGCTGCTTGCTGCATCCTATTCATCCTAAACTGTGGATAAGAGGGTACACATGCTATAAATATATATATATATATATATATATATATATATATAAATTGTTTCATAGTTATATATATATGTATATATGTATATATTTATATATATATGTACATATATATATATAGGCACACACACACACACGTATAGCCATGTAAATCAGAATTTGTTCTCCATATTTAATATCTTTGTATAAAGGAAGGTTTGGTCTATTCTTTGACAAAGTTATCTTGATTTATATAAATGTTATTTTTTTATTCGCAGTGTGTTTGTGGCATTAATCTCACATGAGTTGAACCGCCGGAGGATGTATTATTAGGACTAAGGAGTAAAGTCTTTGAGATTGAAATTGCTTGCTTATGTCTTGTTTTTGTCTGTTACCTCCCTTAACTTGCTTTGAACAACAAGATCCGTTTAACAAAACGCACAAATTGCTCGATCACTTTACATTGCACCTCCTTGTCGCCCAACAATCCTAACAATTTTCGTTCAAAATATTGTAATACTAATAATGCCGTTCGTGTGTCAAATTTATGCAAACTTATCGTTATAATATTACTCTATTAAATATTTAAATAAATAATCTTAAGAAAAGGTATGCAAATCTACCAAAAAAACACCAACCCATTCTCACATTATTTTATTTGCAATCCAACCCGGTATATTTCTACAGGGCAATACGAAATAACATTGACACTCTGATTAGTTTAAATTAGACACACATCTCCCATTTTTTTAATAAAATAATACATCTCTTTGTATTCAAATAAACATTTACTTTTTAATAAATTGATAGTAACTTTCTTATATTTTTAATAAAATGATATTTACCTCCCTGTTTTATTGAAAATAACGTATTTATTACACCTTAAATAAAAATGTAAATTGATAAAGCTCTAGAATATGAAAATCAAAGAATTTTTTGTAAATAAAAATTTAAATAATTTAATTATATTAAAGTTTTAAAATATAAAAAGCAAATAATTTATAAAGTCTTATGAGTTTTCAAATGATGTCCACATATTATCTAAATTTGTGCAAAACATCATCACATCCTTTTTTTTCCTTTATATTATTAAAATATAATAATCCTAATTATAATTATATTAGAAAATTTGAATATATTTTATCAAATAATTGACTCATATACGAATTATTCTTCATTTTAAAATTTTCATCATTATGATTTTGTCTTTAAAAGACTATTTGGTGGGTTGAAAAAGAATGGTATATATAAATTATTTTTTACCTCGACTTCTAAGTAATACAAGAATTATGAACAAATCAAAATATAGAAAGATGATAAAACGGGCTAGACTCAAGAACCCAACTTGCCAACCCGCCTAAAAAATAGTGGGATGGGTTGGTGGTTTTGCCCGTCAATCCATTTTGATCCATCTCGCCTAACCTACCAATTTGTTTGGTCAAGAGCGGGATATGGTGTGGTGATCCATTTTAAAATAATATTTTTTTGAATATATATATATATATATATATATATATATAAATTTTATATAAAAAATTATTGGTAAGTTGATGTCTATAATCCATTATAACTACAATGAGTCGGCTCGTCTCTCTTCATTTTTTGAGGACTAGAGGTTGGATAAGTCAAAATGGTAAGAACTGACCCATTTTGCCATATCTAGAAACATAATCTTCCAGAAAAAGGATTAAAGGATATATATAATAAAACGAGACTCTATCCTCGATCTTATGATAAACGCTAATGTTTTATCTAAAAATAATAATATTTCAACCTTATGATAACATCTTTAAGTCAATTCCCTTATTCAAACTATTGTCTCACTTCACTCATATCCTTAATCTTTAATTAAGATTTATATTTTAGTATAGTTTGGTATTAGTTAAAAATATATATACCTTTCATTCTTAATTTATTGAGATAAGAAATTTTTTAATAATAAAATGGTAATATTGAACAACTTTTGAAGCGAATAACTGAGTGGATTCCTTTCGTTATTTAAGAGAACAAATATATTTTATAAAATAAATAGAAAATATGAGATAAGGAGACTACAAAACTAATTTTTTTCTGCCAATTTTCTTGCAAATTTTTGTTTAAATTTACAGAAAACTTATTTCTTGACATTTTTACAAAAAATTTGTAAAAATATTCCCATGAGAATTTTTAGTAGTAGATAAGTGCAATTTTTCTGTTATTTTATGTAAAAGTTTGAAAAAAGATTGGTAATTTAAATAAATCAATTGTAAACAAAAGTAACGCAGAATCTAGAAATCAGCGGTAACCGCTTACAAGCTTTGCGAACTTGTGCCTTGGTGTGGTATGGCGCCCCACGGCAAATCCGATGCAGCAGCCACCGCCACCAACGGCAGAAAAAGAAGGCGCTATCTCCCTCACAACGTCTCTCTTCTCTTCTCTTACGTAGCTTTTGCATTTCGAAGTTTCTCTTATTTTGTCGCTGAGCTTGTTTTCATGAATTTTTTCAGAAGGCAGTGAAGAAGGGTTCGTATCCTCTGCGGCCTGGCGTGCAGGGCTTTTTCATCACTTGCGACGGCGGAAGGGAACACCAAGCCTCTCGAGAAGCTCTCAATATTCTTGATTCCGTATGATATATGTTTATATTTTCATCTTTCCTTTTCCTTTCTCGTTTTCAGCGTTCCAATTTTGCAATTGCAAATGTTCAAATGCCGTTTAAGACTTTAAACACGACATTTTTGTACCGAAATTTTATGAACTTGGGTTTTCACCTTCAATTTTAAGGAGATATAGGAGATGCAGATACCGTGTAGCTCTTACTTTTGTCATTTGTTTGAATGCAAATTTTTATTAGTGCAAGGATTTTCTTTCTATTATTTGTTTAGTTTATCATTTGAAGAGGGTAGACATTTAGGGTTGTCCTTATCTCTTCGGGCCTGGCTGGTTAATCTTAGTTGTTTTGGGTGCTCTCTGAATGCATGTTTATTCCGAGCATATGATTCAAACACATACATGTGACCTTACTAAAGGGGATAGCTTAGGCTTGAATTATATTGTCATTTTTTAACTTCAAATTTGTAGTTTGTGTATAAGTGGACGCTATTTTTCTTTGCGTTTCGTTGTGAAACTATATTATGCTTTCGTTTATTTGTCATGCAGTTTTACGAAGAGCTAGTTGGCGGGGAAGATTCAAGTGTACAACAATTACCCAGCAAACCTATAAATAAAAAAATCACGTTTGCAGATTCTGACTCTTCCAGTAGTGATGATGATGATGATGAGGGGGAGGAGGAGGGGCAGGAGGGGGATGACAAAAAGGTGGAGAAAAAGCCCAAATTGGATACTTCTAATGATGACAATGCTGGTCTTGATACTGAAGCAGGCGGAGCATCAGCTCCTCGTAAAGTTGATGAACCACACACTCAGGCAGTAGATAAACATAGTGATGGTAAAGGAGACATTGACAATCTTAAGACTACAGAAGGAACAGCTGATGATCTACCCGCTGTGAAACAGTGTAGCAAAACAAACGTGGAAGATAAGTCTATCGATAAGTTGATTGAAGAAGAATTCAAAGAATTGGGAGACAAGAATAAGGTGACTTGATGAGACTAATGTTCTGTGTGCTATTTTATTCTGTCACTGTGAAACACTAGGCTCACAGATCTTAAATTTCTTATATTTACTGGGTTCACCCGATCATTCTTGTGGCCTAATCCGACATGATATAGTTATTCTCATTCCCTTCACAAGCACATGTACATACTTGTGCTAACTAATGCTGAGGTCTGTATCTGGGGTATGTTTATTTTGAGAAAATGTCTACTGCGTTCATTTCTTATTTTACTTTCAGTTCAAAAACGTAATCTTATATAAGTATTGGTTCCTGTTTCCAAAGAAAATAACTTTTATTGTTTTTACTGTTTTTGCGTAAAGTTTGGAAAATAAAAAATGAAACATTTTGTAATTAAAAAAGTAAAAACATAAGACGCTTTGGGGTCTTAAATTGACTTCAAGAGTTGAATTATCTGGATATCTAAAATAATCACTGTTTATGACTTTTTTTATTAAGTAGTGGCACGATCAGCTTTTATATTTATCATTTTTCCTCATTAGTGTTTATTTTTTGGGTGAAGGAGGAGTAAATTAAAATTTGTAGAAAGATACTATACACTGCTCTTCAGTTCATTGTGTGTTGGAGTATGGTTTGAGGGTACTGTGGCAGTCATCTGACGCTAGGATCTGTTTCAACTTTCAATAGTGAATTTGTGTTTTGCTAAGGGTGATTTCTTTCTTCCAACAGAGACGTTTTGTCAAGCTTGATTCTGGCTGTAATGGTGTGGTATTTGTTCAAATGAGGAAGAAAGATGGAGATCGAAGCCCCAAGGATATAGTTCATCGCATAGTGACATCAGCAGCATCAACAAGAAAGCATATGTCAAGGTATATTTATAGTGTCTCTCTCTCTATGTGTGTTGTGTGTATGTACATGTGTAGGCATGTATATAACATAAGCATAGAAAAACACTAATGCAGTTTTGACTACTTTTAGGTTTATTTTGAGAATTTTGCCAATTGAAGTCTCATGTTACGCTTCAAAGGAGGAAATTTCAAAAGCAATGGATCCTCTTGTGGAACAGTACTTTCCTGTGGAAACTCAAAACCCACACAAGGTAATACTGTGCAGTAATGTTTGAGCTTGTATTGCATTTTCTTTTGAACATGCATTCCAAACTACACAAATGTTGCAACTGTTAAGATTGTGAAGTTAATATAGCTTAGCAGGAATGCTATATTACATTTTACAATTACTCTTTTATCTAATGCTCCAACTTGTACACCTAGTTATGATTATTTGCAAGCTTGCAATGCTAGCTTTACTGCCTTAAAGGGGGGTAGGGGACAAAGTTTTTTTTTTTTTTGTCTTGTGTTGTGAATGAAATAACAGGGGCTACATTGGGTGCTTAGGGTTCTTAATTTGAAATTAGAAGTTGGGCCATCAAATGTAATTTTTCATGTTTGTTATGGTT